GGAGAGAAAATGTTTTGAGAATGATGTACAAATGCGCTTTACACAATTGATGTGTGTATGGATTGCCATAACAGTTGTATGTGCCCCTAATAAAATGTTTAAAAAAAAAAAAAGTTTTCCCCAAAATGCCATAGAATATAAGATTTGTGGCATATAGAAATGTCTTGGAAGAAAGAAACATTAATATATTCTGCAAGGTCAACCTGGGTAGTTCTGAATAATTTCTTTTATTGGGATAACACTTCTTTCTGAATATTGAATATAATGCATGTCAATCACCATGACATATAATTAGACATGTCATGAAAAGAGCAACAAAAGTAAAGCATGTTTCTGTTATGACAGCATTTTATAAACAGTGACATATAAGTAAAAAGATGACATGTTATACTTTATTAACAAAGGAAACTGAAATATTACACAGTTTATTGGTATGAATACAGGTTTATATACTTAATGTAAATTTTCTTGACAATGAAAAAAAAAAAAGAAATGGGATGGGAGGACTCTTACAGAATACTGCCTTAGCTTACAACTTTAAAATTTTTAATTGATACCACTTTCCTTAAGTTTTATACTATCACTCTGAGGTCGGGAGGGAATCTGTAGTTTTACCCCATTCTATAAAACAAAACTGAATCCAACAGGATTAAATTAAATATACACAGTATCTAGGCTAAGAATTATTTACTTTCATTCTGTTTTTATCAGGTTTTAAGTAAAGCTAAAGTAATTCCATATATTGTGATTGATGCAAATGCTTAAAATTGGTTGATTCTAATTACAAGTAGGTTCTGTTTGGTCAAGTAGAACCACATTTCAAACACAGACACCTGAGTGTGAAATTATAAGAATCTTGCTCTAGTTAGCTTTTAGTTACATTTTCTCTTCATTGGCAGGTTTCTCTTTGCCCTGAAAACTGGACCATAAATGCTACTGTGTTTGGCAGTGGGTTTTTCGGTTTTAGTGTCATGCTTTTTACTCATAAACTTTGAAAGATCCACTTTGGTAAATATTCAAATGCTTCATCTCCATCTGTTCTCATTCTTAATAGTTACTCCTTTCTCAGTTAATTGCATCTCTGTCCTTCAGATTGCTTTGGCCCCAAATTGCTGAATCAGCCTTAGCCTCTCTCTCCACATTCATCTCATCAGGGCATCCTTTTGGCCCTATCTTTTGACTGTATCCACCTCCCTTGTTCCTATAGAACTGCTCCATTGGCTTTTCTTGGCTGTAATCTTTATGGAAGCAGTTCACCAGGTCTTTCTTTTGTGAAATACTGCTTTGTTTGCACTCTTAGCACTTATCCCAAACATCATCTCTATCTTAATTAATTTATTTATTTTATTGTCTGGTTCTTCTGACTGAGTGGAAGTTCCATAAGGCCAGGGGATTTTTGTTGTTTTGGTTGTATTTGCTACTGTATCCCTAGCAATTAGAAGAATATTTGTATCATATTAGGTATTTTGTAAGTATTTATTAAAGGAGTCCTGGTCGCATAGTGCTTACATGTTGGGCTACTAACTGAAAAGTCAGTACTTTGAAAACCACCAGCTGCTCTGTAGGAGCACGAGTAGGCTTTCTACTCTGTGAAGATTTACAGTCTCCAAAACCCACAGGGGCACTTCTGCTCTGCCCTATAGGTTCCTGTGGATAAGAATTGACTTGATGGCAGCAAGTTTGGTTTGGAAGTACTTATTTAATATATATGTAAATTTTTTTAGTAATTTTCCAGGCAGCATTAGGAATTCAGTATCATTATTCTTTGTGTACAGATTAGACATTGAGTCTCAGAGAGTTTCATTTTGTGATGAGAAGACTTGACCCCAGATCTCTCTTGCCTTGTAGCTCAACTACTGAATGCATCAGTTCCCTCTTTGCAATGCTAGGTGTGTCAAGTTAACACCAGCGTACTGGCACGACAAGATAAAAGAAGTCACCCAGTGCGTACATCTGTTTGTGCTGTTCTCCCTCATCACTACCTGATTAGGAAAACAGACTGTGTTGGAGAGAGTTGCTAAACTGCTTCCTTAAACCAAATATGCTTTGGCGTAGTATGAACGTTCTGAGATACTCAACTTCTCTTGATTGAAAAAAAAAGGGTGTAATTTCTTATGAAACGAAAAACATCTGAATCAAATGAAGTTGAAGTCAAAAGAACGCTTTGATTAAGATGGTTCAGGTATTCCAGGCCTATGGATTCATTGTGGCAGTGGCAATCTGTGTTCCATTTTCTGCCAGTAATTATTCTTAGTTCAATGGAGTCATAGATTTTCAAAAATTACCAAGCTACTTGAAGTCAAATAGGAAACTGATGAGGATAGAGGTCACACTTTCAGATGATGTTCCCAGCTTGTGATGCGCATGACTCATACTTTGTAAGTTCTCACAGCTGCTTTAAACTTGCACACTCCAGGATGTGTGTGCGTTTTGTTGGCATTTTCCAACACCTGCTCGATTGGTGATTTGTATTCAAAAGAAATGATTGAGTTGACAGTGACCTCCACTCACCAAGAAGAACTGATATCCTTAGAACATGGAATGAAAAATATGAATCCTAGATCTGTCCCAGGACTTTTGGTTGTTTGGCTATTGTTTGGGTCCACCAAACTCTCTGAAATTAGATATTGCCACCCGCCTACCCCTGCATGCCTCCAACAAACACACACAAAAGGGTAGATGTTGTTTGAGAGGTGATGAAATTTCAAGTAAAAATTGAGTTGTACCCCTTGACGTCAGTGGCTCTCCAATGATAGTTATCAAGCTCCTGTACTACTTTGAAGCTGTAGCCAACTCGATAAATTCTGGATCAACTCCAAGCTAAGAATTCGCATTTCCATCTCTGATGTACTGAATTAGAATCTTGATCTTATTAAAACGTAGAATCTGCTTCAGTATATCTAGGGTAGAAATTCAAATTCTAGCAAGGTGTCACACTTAAATATACCTGGAAGCCCTGCTTTCAAGAAACACAAGCTCCAAATTCTTTTTTGTCATTAGTGGGCAAAACTGGAATTTCTTCTCAGCTCTTTAAACTCCTTGTTATTGCTCTTGGATAGGTACTTTGGCTTCTTCTTAAGGCATGCTAATTACCAGAAAGGTAGCACAATTTTTTTCCCTCCACCATTTTTCCCATCCCACCATGATCAACTTAACTGCCGTTTTTTAGTGTTGTTGAATTATATCACTAACATTCGTGAAATTAAAGTTATTCTGTTTCTCTTAGGGAAAGACAGAGTTTTCAATACCCCACTGTGTGAACAAGGAATTGTTGGGTTTGGAATTGGAATCGCAGTTACTGGTGCTACTGCCATTGCAGAAATTCAGTTCGCAGATTATATTTTCCCTGCGTTTGATCAGGTAAGGACATCACGGATTTTGAATGGACACTTCTAGATGGTTAAGCCCATTAATTCCTGAAAGATTACCTCTGCTCCCTGCCCTGCTACTGAATCTTTGCAATGCTCTGTTACCTTTGAGTTAGTGCCTGGGCATATTTTAAAGAGATTCAGGTTACCTGCCCTTGCTAGTCTTCCTAGGAAATATTTTGTAAACTGAAGTGGCGTAAAATTAAGAAGCAATTCCCACTGATTTATATAGGAAAAAAAATTTCAGTGTTCACCCCTGCCAAATAACGTACTAAATCATATCAAATAATTCATGCAATTTAAAATAAGACTCACATGGGTGGTCACAGACACAGTTTGCAGCTATGACAGCTTTATGCGGAGTTTAGTTTCCAGGGAAGGGTTTGCTAGCCACACTCATTGCTTGGGAAAAGAGAGGCACGTTTGCCTGGCTATCAAAAGATGTAGCGTCTGTGGTCTTAAAGACTTGACATTAAACAAGTGGCCATCTAGCAGAGAAGCAACAAGCCCACATAGAAGAAGCACACTAACCTGTGTGATCATGAGGTGTTGATGGGATCAGGTAAAAGGCATCAGAAAACTCAAACAAACAAACAAAAAACAATAATTGTTGAGAATGAGGTAGGTTGGAGCAGAAACCAAAAACCCTGCTGTAGACAATGCGACATCCCCTAACAGAGGGGTCACAAGGGAGGGATGTGTCAACCAGGGTGTAGTTATAGCACTGATGACACATAATATTCCTTTGTTGTTGTTTTTTTTAACATTTTATTAGGGGCTCATACAACTGTTATGGCAATCCATACACACATCAATTGTGTAAAGCGCATTTGTACATCATTCTCAAAACATTTTCTCTCCACTTAAACCCCCGACATTAGGTCCTC